CTTTCATCCCAAGACTCTGGGGTACAGTCCAACCCACAACACAGCCCAACCTTGTCAGCTCACCTGCTCCTGTTCCTGATTCTCAAGCTCATTCCAGTGGACCCTGCTTCCCTCAGGCCAAAGCTACAGTTCATACCACGGCCGTGACACCCTCTGTGAGGTCACAGAGGACTGGCATCGGTTCATTCTAAGGATGTCAAAGGAGGTCCAGGAAGTCAAGTACCTCCTGACATGGCCCGTCCTTCCTTTGAGCTGGCTCATGGACAAATGTCCTCAGAGGCACTTTGAGGAAGCAGAAGACTTGGCTCTGTGTTGAATCCCTGGGAATCAGTTCACACCTAAGTCACCTCCTCCCAGCAAGGACTTTCAGCCATGGGAACAGTGGGGGGCAGGTGGTGATCTGTTTCCTTAGCCTGAATGTTGGACCCATGCACAAGTATCCTCAGAAGCACTCTGCTTTAGGAAAGGACCTGGCAGGTTGTCTCGGAGCTGCCTCCCTGACAACTACCTCACATGAGCTCCTGTGAGCCCTCCTTCTTCTTGTAGTTAACTTCGACTTTGGGAAGAACAGACGGGTGATGCTGCTTTCTCAGGTCCCGAGTCTGAGCCTCACACACTACCTCAGCCCTTCAGCTGCTCCCTTTACCAACATGATTCCCTTGTCAAGATGCAGGATGCCACCACCTGCCTCTGGACTCTGAGTAGCAAGGTGATTGATAACTTGGATTTCTATCTCGTCTCCTCTACTGTTATACTACAACTTGAATGGGCTGTGTCTCTGTAGAACAGTGCTTGCTCAGCATTCCAGAACCCTGGCTCTGAACTCCGGCCCCACAAGAACAGTGTGAATAAAGACTAAAATAAAATAGGAGCTTTTGGCATGGAGAGCCCCAGCCCATGAGGTTCAGTCCTGAATAAGCATCTATTCTTTGCTGCCTTGCCCTCATGGGAACCTCCTCTTGAATGACTGAGTGAAGGAAGGAAAGAGTGACCTCTCTGTCCGACACTGCGCCAAGCCCACAAGTCTATGCAGTGGGCAGTTATGCAGTGGTGGGATGGTTTTGTTAGACGTGGCCTGAGCTGCACCTCCTTGGCAAGCACGTTAGAGTGGAGCTGCCACCTCAAGGCCGCTTCCCATGAAAGGATGTTGGCGTGAAGAATGGCTGACCCAGCACTGGGGAGAGTTGGCTGTGGGGCCACCACATGTCCTCTGGTAACCCAGAAGGAGGCCGGACTGAACAAGTTCTTGGACAATGTTCGTAACCATTGACCAAAACAGGACTCCACACTTGAAGACAGGGCATCTAGCTTACAGCCTGAGGAGGGTTTAAGGGAGCCATGTTGCATGTGTTTGCATTCAGATGCCCTCAGATATGATACTCTCCGTGGTTTCTGAAGGACTCATCTCTGAAAGATGGCTTCAGCAGTTGAAGGCACTTCCTACCGAGCTTGACAAATTGACTTCAATCCTAAGAACATTCACGATGGAAGAAGAGAATCAACTCCTGCAAGTTTTCCCCTCACCTCCACACATGAACTATGGTATACCTGAACACACAAACACACACACACACACACACACACACACACACACACACCAATCAGGAGACAGAGGTGGAGGATCAGGAGTTCAGTCATCGATGGCTGTATAGCAAGGTTGAGACCAATTTGGCTATATGAAATCCAGTCTCAAAAAAGCCAGGAGACAGAGGTGGAGGATCAGGAGTTCAAAGTCATCGATGGCTATATAGCAAGGTTGAGACCAATTTGGCTATATGAAATCCAGTCTCAAAAAAGCAATGGAATAGGGGAATGTGTCAGGGGCTCAGATGTGCTGTATCAACATGAAGACCTGAGTTGGAATCCCCAGCTCACACACAAAATCTGGGCATGGGAATACACCTCAGTGGTACAGCACTTGCCTTGCATCTGTGAGGTTCTAAGTTCAATTCCCACCATAGGAAAAAATAAGCAGCAATCGCTGCACTGGTCTAGAACACCAGCACTGGGTAGAGAGACAGGCAGATCTTGAGCACTCTCTGGCTGGCCAGGCTAGGTGAACTGGCAAGCTTCTGGTTCAATGAGACCATATTCCAAGGCCTCAAAGATGTCTTACTGACTGTGAGGGCAGGGCAGACACATGAGCAAAAAGGCCACTGCAGGAGCTCAGGAGCCCACTCACAAAGCTGTTGGAGCCCTACACAGCCTAGTGAAGATTAGAGGAGGTGAGAAGCTGATTCCTGAAGAGTGGTAAATCAAGTGGTCCCACTGCAGGGGCAGGGTGGGGGATGGTACTGTGTTGCAGCCCTGGGTCAGAGCTAGGAGTTCATTCCTGGAGTTCCAGTTATACATGCACCTGATAGTCTGGTGACACAGGGCACTGGATGCTGCCATTTCCCAGTTCAGGTGTCACCCTTTATTTAATCAGGAGGGGGTTGCATCTTTCAGTGATATGGTATGTGCAATGAAACCTGCACCTCCTTTATCTGATAGAATTTGGTATGCCCACTTTCCGTGAGCTCCTGATTTCACTTGCTAAGCTCATAGGGGGTCATCACTTCTTTATGTCAAGACATTATCAGTCTGTACATGGATGTGCTGGATAAATGGTGGCTGTTTGCCCACAGACAAGATACACAATCTTAAATGGAGTTGCTCAGAGATGAAAACCATTATCACGCAATGCAGTGTAATAGATTGGCATTGTGGAGACCATGCTGTGCCCTGAGTTAAAAGTTACAGGGAGACCTTGTGTGAAGGCACAAGCCTAAAATCCCAGTGAGTGGGAGGTGTAGGCAGGAAGATCAGGAGGTCAAGATCGCCTGTGGCCATATATGAAGTTCATGACCAGCCTGGCCTACAAAAGACCCAACAAAACAAAGATCAAAAAATAAAGACTTAGGCCGGGCTTGGTGATACACACCTTTAATCCCAGCACTTGGGAGGCAGAGGCAGGCAGATCTCTGTGAGTTCAAGACCAGCCTGGTCTACATAGTGAGTTTCAGGACATCTGGGACTACAGGGAGACCCTGTCTCAAAAAGACCAAAACATAAAATAAAGACTTGACCCAGGAAACACCTGGTGGCACACTGAGCTAAGCTGGAGACTGAGCTAGGAGGATCCCAAGTTCCAGGCCTGCCTAGGCAACTTAGTGACATCCTCTTTCAAATAAATGAAAAGGGTCCATCGAGATGGCTCAGTAGGTAAAGGCTCCTCTGGCCAAGACTGACAACCTGATTTCAATTCCCAGGACCCACAAGGTGGAAGGAGAGAAGATACTCCTGAAACTTGTCTACTGACAATCCTGCCTCAACCTCCTTGGTGACTACACAGCCATACCCAGTCCCATATTTTAATTTAGATCTTATCCAAACACAAATCTTTGAAAACTTCTCTAACAGAAGGAGAGAAGATACTCCTGAAACTTGTCTACTGACAATCATCCTGCCTCAACCTCCTTGGTGACTACATAGCCATAACCAGTCCTATATTTTAATTTAGATCTTATCCAAACACAAATCTTTGAAAACTTCTCTAACCAAACCACAGGTATTTTTAAAAGGTGATGCTCAGTTCTCCCCTGGAGTC